ATGGACGGAGCGTGGGGACATCCTCACTTACGTTAAGCTGGGAATGCGGTACAATCCCACGGGCATGCCAACGTCATTCGTCAACCACATGATCAAACATATGAGCGACCTGGCGAACCGCAAGGACGCAGCGCCACCGGCAGACCCAGCGGGCCAGCCATCGCGACCAGGCCCAGACGACAAGGACGACCAACCAGACCGCGGACACGCCCCACGAGATGGCAATGCGCCATCACCCACTACCAGCAGCATCTCGCCCCAGCCGAGGTAAGAGCCCCACCGCGGGGGCTCCCAGCCATAGCAGCTACCGCACACTGCCAGCCTCCGACCTCGTAATCAGAGTGATGCCCACGTCGATGGACCCGAGAGCAGCCATCCAACGCTTGCGCGAGATGACTCAAGCGCATCGCACCTCCCCAAGGCCGCCACTGGAAGGCATCGCACCTCGGCGCCCACCCACAACTCGAATCATACTCCCTGGCAGACGCAAGCTCAACAGCGACGACGCCATCTACGGCGCCAGGTACCCCGTCGCCCGCTTCGGCATCCCAGCGGCCAGGGATACCAGCGAGGAGGAACCTTACAAGGGATGAGAATCTAGAGCGCACGAAGAAGAGATCCGACCGCACGACCACCAGGCAGCGACGGTCGTCGAAATCGGCTGCACGCCCAGCCAGACGACAATGAGGGATCTGCCGACGCAGCAGGAGACCTACGCCTGGCTTGGCCCACACGGGCCAATTCCGCTTGGCCCATCGACCCACGCTTCTCCAAAAGGACAGACGCCCCCCCTGATCTCCCGCACCAAGGGCAGACGAGGTCGTGCTAAAATGGGGCTTGCCAAACGAAGGCCCATCAGTTCGTCGCCCCTTCCGCTCAGTCAACCAATTTGGCTCCAACGACAGCAGAGGATCGATCTCACCGGTAACGCAGATGGAAACCGCCCGTTACTCCCTCGCATGACCGCCGCGCTCATTGCGCGGACGGCAGCAGCAACGGCCGGGCACCGCAGCAACAGCTGAGAGCCCATCTCGATCCCCAACTTCTGTTCTCTGGGCGATAGCAGCACTCTCGTCTCTCGCTGGCGCATGCGACGACGCCCACCTCTCGCTGGCACTGGCGCATGCGACTACGGCAGCTACACCAATGGCACGCTGTGCTACGCAGTGGGTCCACGGCAGCGGCCCCCCACCCACTCGCGCTATGCAGACCGCGCGCCGGGCGATCGCAGCGCTCTCACCTCGCTCGCATTGGGCGACGCTCGCATCGTGACCTGCGCAGGGCGGCGACATCAAGGGCACGCCATGCTACGCAGTGGGTCCAGAGTCGTTGCTGTCTCACCCGCGCATGCTTTACAGACCGCACATCGGGCGACTGCAGTGCTCCCGCCTCTTCCTTTGCACATGCGACGGCGCTCGCGCTGTGGCCTACACGGCGGCGGCTACGCCAAGGCTTCGCGATCGGCGTCGTTATGCTACGCAGTGGGTCCTCGTTAGTGGCTTCCCCACCCGCGCGCGCGATGCGCGCCGCGCGCTGGAAAGAGGGATCTTTGCCAACTTCCACTCCCTCTGGCTGCGCTATTTGCATATGTGCCCTCCGCCCCCACCCCCCCCGTTCGCCCCGCCCGCCAACCCCTGCCCACTCTCGTGGCGGAGGGGCGGACGATGCAGGATTGGCGCGCCGATCAGGCGGCGGGGTGGGCAGGGGCCGAGACGCCGGCCGCCGCGGCGAGGGCCTCGGCGGCTGCAGGCAGCCAGCGCGCATATTCAATCCATCGATGCTTCCCTCTTTTGCGGATACAGCCGCCACTCTGTTGCAGCCGCCAGTCTGTGCGACGCGGCCGCCATCGTCGCTGGCAAGTCGCCAGGCTTTGCGACGGAGGCCGAACTCGTCACGGAATAGCGCTGCCCCGCGCGCGCCCCCCGCGGCGCCGCAGTTTCGGCGCAGCTCGGCAGCGTTCTTTGCGAAGGAGGCGCGCCGTGCTTCTCCGCCTCCTCGGCCCGCCCAAACGCCCGTCGCCGCCGCCGCAATTCCAGCTCGCGCGCCAGCGCTCGCGACGCGGGAGCGGGGTTCGATTCTCCTTCATGGGGTGGGCGGGCCCAGCCGCGGCAACCCGCGCGCGGCCGCCGCCTGGAAGCGCGCGCCCCCCCCCCCCCTCCCCCCGCGCCCGGTGGCGACCCCCCGCGCAGCCGCCAGTCCCGCGCTCGGGTGCCCCGCGCTTGCCTCGGTGGGCGCGGGCCCCCGTCCCGGGGCGGCGGGCTGGGCGGGGCGCCCCCTGCGGGCGCGGGGGGGGCCCCTTCTGCGCCGGCCCAACTGCGGCGAGAGATGGCCGAGGTTAGCTCCCACCACGGCGGGCCAGCGCCATGCTGCGAGCGCGGCCCCCCGCCGCGCCTGCAAGCGCAGCCCCCGCATCGCTCCTATTGTCGCCGCCTGTGTGCCCATTTTCCTCGCCTCTTCCGCCCCCCGCAGCAAGCCGGCGCCTCAACTGTCGCGCGCCGGTGCGTTCGTGGCTGACGGACGCGCTTTGCCAAATTATGTTTCATATTTTTGTGTTTGAATCATCTATGTTTGCACGCCTCAAACATGCGCGCAGCATCGCATGCGATGAATATGTTGTTGCGAGTGCGCCTTGGAGGTGGAGGAAGTTCATGCGCGGTGCAAGTGCGTCTTCAGCCGCGAAGAGGGCGGCGCTACTTCCGCGCAGGGATGCCGGCCGCATTCTCTCACGCGGAGGAGTCCCATGGGGGAGTCCTTTGAGCGCGCGAGGGCCCCGTGGCCCACATCTGGCCGATAACCCACTCAGAGCGGAGCGGCGCAGGGTCGCCCAGGCCAGACCGGCCGCGCGCGAGGGGGAACGCGCCCCGGGCGCCCTTTTGGACAGACTTCCTCCGGCGGGCCGCGCGCTGGGCCCCTGGGGCCGCGGCCCCCGCTGGGCGTTCTCACTGGGGGCCGCGCCTCCAGGGGAGAGCGGGGGCGGGCGCTCAGCAGGGACGCGCCCGCCGGGGCGGCGCCAGAACGGCCGCCCGGCGAGGCCGCGCCCGCGGGGGGGGGGCGCTGGGCCGGCGCCCTGGAGGGAGCGCGCCCGGGGGGCGCGCGTTGGCGAGGCCCCCGTGGCGCATGGACATGCAACGCAACATGGCAAAGATTCGTGAGAAACACCTCGGCCGGACATTTTATGCGGGCGCCCGGCGGGTGGCCGAACAGTTTTTTTTTTTGGGGGGGGGTCTCAATGTTTTAACATATACCTTGAAGTTTGTGTAGTAATGTTTTCGGGCCGAAAAAACTTAGTAATGTTTTTTTTTCACCGCATTCGCACACAGGTTTAAGCACATATGCTATGTGTCTCGATGTGTGTCTCTGTAATCGAGAAGCTGAACACACACATGGGATATGTTTGTTGATGTTTCTCTGGGGGGCGCCCGCCGGGAAGGCACCGATGATATATCGAAAACGCATCTCGCCCAGACATTTATGGGGCCTTCCGCCCCGCGTGGGTCACCCCGCAGTTTCCCATCCTTGGCCCCCCCCCCCCCCCCCCCAGTTGACTCCCTCATAGGACTCTTCCATAGAATTTCCCCGGGGGATGTCACCACAGGGAGTCCTCCCCTACTGGGCTCCCCATACAGGAGTCCCCCATAGGACGTCCATCGGACTTTCCAATAGGATTCGCCCATCAGATTCCCCCATGGCACTACCCCAGAAGATTTCCCCATGGGACTCCCCATCAGGACTTCCCCATAGGAATCCCCAATAGGACTTGGGCTCCTACATCGGATCCCCCATCAAGGATTTTCTTTTTTATAGGACTCCGCCACAGGACTCCCCATAGGACTCCCCCGGTGGACTCTCTCATGGGACCCCCCATGGACACCCCCATGGGATTACCCCATCGGATCCCCAGGAGAGGTGACCTAAGCGCAGGGATCGCTGAACGCATTCGATGGAACATCGTTGAATCATGTTTTACATCTCCAGGACTGAGGTGTGGACCATGGGAAGCAACATTGTTTGTTTTCAACGAACATAAAGAAGTCAACAATGGACTGTTAGGGTGGCCATCGCCATGGCATCCACAACATTACGTACATTTGGAGGGGGGCTGGGTGTACGCATTGGGGTCAGGGGATTACCAGAGCAACCTTCACGCGGCCGCCGCCTGGAAGGCACAAGCCTCCCCCACGCCCGCTTGAATCCCCCCTCGGTGCAGCCACCACTCCCGCGCTCGGGTAGTACCCCACGCCTGCCTGGGTGGTTGACGGTTTCCGTCGTGGGAATGTGTGTGTGTGTGTGTCGGATGGTGGGTTTCCTGTGGGCAAAGGGGGGGGGGCCCTTGCGCCTTCCCCCCGCTGGCGAGAGTTGGCCACGACGCAGGTCGCAGCCCTTCGCTGCCACGCCAGAGCGCCGCCGCACCACCCCTCTTCGCCTCCGCTCCGTTTCATGATATGCCTCGCTAGGGGGCCACATGCGAACCCTACCCCTATCCCCCACGATTTCTGAGGAGGAGGGTGGGGTTCACTTCGTTCGGGAGCTCTCAAGCGAAGTGAACCCCACCCTCCCCCTCAGAAATCGTGGGGGGTAGGGGTAGGGTTCGCATGTGGCCCTCTACTCGTCCTCTTCCCCCCTCCCCCTCCTGATTCGTCAGCTGTGACGTTGCCCTTGTTCCCCCCAGCCGGCGATTCCCAGGGGGCGACCGCTCCTGGAGTCGCCTGGCCCACCCGTTTGATCCCCCCCCCACCCCCCCAAGGGGCGACCGCCCTTGAGTGGGGGGGGATGAGTGCGTCGGACACGTACGGACCATCGGGCAACACATGCGACAGGAGGAGACGGAGGAGGAAGAGGAGGAAAATACGGAGGAGGAGGAGGAGGAACTGGAGGAGGAGGGGGAAGAAGATGAGGATGAGGGAGGAGGGGAGGAGCGGGAGGAGGGGTTGGACGACGAAGACGACGACGACGATGACGGCGGCCGCCGCGGCGAAGGGCGACGACGTCGTTTGCCGCAGGACGGGCGGCGACCCCCGCATCCTGGCGATCACCGTCCTCGCCGGGGGCACCTCCGTCCCGGACTTGCTGACGTGCGCCCGCTCCCCCCTTGTTTTCTGAACGTTGTCGTGCTTCTCCCCATGGTAGCGCTCGCCACCCGGGCCAACTCCCGCCCGGGTAACGCCAACGATCACGACGCGGGGGCCCGGGCAACCCCGTACACTTGCTGTGGTGCACAGGCGATTCATGCGCCGGTGGCGCGGTGTGCACCCTGGGGGGCCCCGGGAGCACACCGCGGTTGGCGTGTTGCTCTTATTGATGGGCCTGTTTTCCACCACCACCACCACCATAAGTTGGATAGGGTGGAGGTGGTCCTCCTCCCCCTCTTCTTCCTCCTCATCCTCCACCTCCCTCTCCCCTCCAACTTATGGTGGTGGTGGTGGTGGAAAATAGGCCCATCATTACCCTCCCGCCCGAGACCCCCCCTCCCAACGACCGCTACCCGGGAAGTTTATTCAAGACATACACTTTTTCGGGGGTGGCATGGCCAGGCGGTGATACGGTGGGGAATTTTGGCTTAGCATGTCGCGCAGCGGGTTCTGGCCCACCACGCCTCGGCAAGGCACACTGACCATTTCCCACCCTCAACCGTCCACGTCCCGGACTTTTCCCCGCCTCCCACCGCACGGAGCGGAGCGACACGCTATCCGCTTGCAGGGCATAGCATGTTGACGGGGCCGCCGCCGCGACATGCTGAGCAACAGTTCCCGACCGTGTGACGAGGAAGAATCGTTCCAGAGCCTTTTGGAACGCTCTCACAGCATTCCGGAGCGCTTTTGGACCGTCGCTGCGCTCGGTATACCCTCTAGAACCACTGGGTCTCAGAGATCACCGATCTGTCACAGTTCGATTTCGACTCGTGTTGTTGTCGTCTCACCTGGCGCGTCTGGCTTCGGACATCTTCCCGGTGGGCATGCACTGCCCGAGGGGAGGCGCAGCGGGAGGAACCGGAGCAGGAGACACAGAGCAGGCAAGCAGAAGAAGAGGGCTGTATCCCGATACCGTTGCTATCCCCTCGTCGCCATGGCGGGATTCGCCTCGGGCTTCTGGTCAGAACTTGCCACCTGGAGAGGTCAGGGAAGCGGCACCGTTTTGTCCCCACCGGCACGGCTTGCACACGTGGAGGTTTCCTTCTCCTCCTCCTCCTCCTTCTCTTCCTCCTCCTCCTCCTCCTCTCAGGCAAGGCTTGCCTAAGAAGGCTTGCCTACGAGGAGGCGGCTTGCCCGGCAAGCCGCATGCTCACCCGACGTGTGGCGTCTAACCAGACGCCAGCGCGGACCGCTGGTGGCAAGTGACGGCCAGCTGAATGGGTGGCAGGCGATTTTGCGACCCTCCGATCCCCGAGCCAAGGGTGCCCGATATTCGGTCGGGTCGGCTGCGTCGCAGTCGGTTGCGTTCGGTCGTCTCTGTCCATTCGATTGTTGTGCCATTGCTGTGGCGGACGATCAATGGAGAGGAAGCATGGTGCCGAATAATTTCCAGATGCCTCACAGATGTTTTCAATATGTTTTAAATGTGTTAAAAACATGTTTGACACATTTTTTAAACATTTTTCACATCTTGAACACATATTTGATTCAATGATAGGACTTCTAGAGTGTCCATTGTCATGGCATCCACAATGCCATTGCTGCGCTGCTGCGCCCGTCTGGGCTGCCTGCGGCGTGTCGGGTGCGGTCGGCTTCGATCTCGCTGTCGGCCCTCGGTCGGTTGTCGATGGCGCCGTCGCCGTGGACGGCCCTGCGAGCGGTCCCAGAAGAATGAGGCTGCGCAGGAAGGGAAGGGACACTCGGGGATAGATACCCTTGGCTTAAGTCGGGCCTGTCCCTCTACAGGGGGAAGATCAAAAAATGGTAAAAGAAATAGCCAGGTTTCTGTGTATTTTTGACAAGTTTGGAGCATGTTTTGAATTGTTTTATATTTGTCGCCCAAAATTCCCCTGTAGGGGGACACGCCCGACCTAACCCTTGGCGGGGCTATTCGGACGCACCCTTGGCGAGAACGGGTGTCCCCCCCCCATTTTGTACGTCCGAGGTTGGCTCCAACCCGTGGGATCCAGTCGGCCCCACAACGTCGGCGACTGGGGTCGGCAGGACCCCCGCCAGAGCAGCCGAGCACACACAGTGGTGGTGCATGGTGTGAGAGGGAGTCCACGAGATGTTCGAGCCACGTTCTCCTCTTCTTCCTTCGAGGCTCGAGGACCGAGGCGGTTGGACGCGTGTTTTTTTTCTGCTCTTCCCGGGCCCCCCGGACGCCTCGGGGGACCTCCTGCCCGCCTTCTCCTCGTTGTCCCCCTGGTCCTGCTCGTCTTGCTCCTGCTGCTGCTCAAGCGGTCTCCATTTTGGCTCAAGGCTGTTCTGCTTCCCGGTGAACCGAGCGGGTTACCGCTATCTGCGGTAGTCGAGGCTGTCCAGCCTGGCATTCATTTTCTGCAGGGCTGGTCCGCCCCGGGCCTTGCCTGCCTCCCGCGCCCGCGGGTGAGCAGTTGTGTGCTCCTGCTGCTGTGGTTTCAACCTCGTCGTCGTGCTGATCGTGATGGCCGAAGTCGGCGTCCAGGATCTCCTGACCACGATAAACAGCCCTGCAGTGTGTGCAGTGTCTGTCATCACTGGGAGAACGACAGTTGTGGCCACGGTGTGCTCTAAGTGCTAAGGTCCCTAAAAGATACGGCGGCAGGCATCAATCCTGGTCAACCCCCGTCCGATTCGAGGAGCGGGTGCTGTTGATCCTGAACATGTCAAGGCGGCAATCGTCGTTTTCGCCCACATGCGCGGCGTTCTCCAAGTGCTGCCCGCCCCCCCAAAACAAAATCTGAGCTCGAAGGGGTAGCTTTTGCTGCAGCCCCGCTCCCACCCCCCTGGGACGGCCAGCGCAAGCTTCTGGGGGGCACCTGAGTCCCCGGCAGTGCGGGGGTCGCCCGGAAGCACCTGCCGAGAGCGTTCCAGTTCCAAGAAGTTTTCCTCTTCGGATGTAACTCCTGGGAGGATAAACTCTGACTTTGCCATGGTCCGAAATCGGGTTTAATCCCGTTCAATCCGGCTTGGTGCTGAATCCGGCTTCATCCAGGCCAATCGGGCTTAATCCCGCTGAATCCCCGGCCTAATCTGGCGTAGCAGCCCCCCCAATGGGGCTCAATCCTCTCGAACCCTTCCGACGAAGACCTCCCAGTAGTTGCCCCCCTAACCCTTCATCGAGCCTCGAGGGTTGAGGGCTGGACCCAGCACTCCTCCTTCCCCTACCCCTGCCCCTCCCTCGCCTCCCCGCCGCTCTCCGCTGGGCGGCCGCGGCCACCACCACCGGCCTCACCAGCGAAGCAAGGAACACGCTGGTGGGCTGGTCGCTCCTCCCCCCGAGCTGGTGGCACCGCGTTCCAGGCGCGCCCCCAGGGTGCTGGCGCTGGATGTTGGGGTGGCCTGCCTCCGAAGAGGCAGGCTCGAGAAGAGAGAGGGCCAGACAGACAGCGAGACAGGCTTGGGAGAAGGGCGAACGTGCGGGCGAACACGCCGGAGGCGCGCTGGGGTGCCCAGAGCAGAGTGCCACCAGCTCGGGGGGTTGGCCTCTGGGGACGGAGTTTTGATGGGGGTGGTCGCTCTTTTTGCTAACGTGACTGCTACCGCGCGAGGTCCGTGATCGTGACGATGCAGGGGCAGGGCGACATGGCCATTTCGTCGTCGATTGGCTCCAACATATTCGACGTGACAGTGGCCCGCGCCTGGGTCGACGTCGCCGTCGCCGTCGCCTCTTCGTCGTCCGCGATGCCTCTCATTGCAGGACATGGCTCCTGGCAGTTCTGTGGTCCTGGTTGAGCCGATCGGGCTCCAAGGCCCGATCGGCTCCAACACGTTATTCTAAGCGCTGCTTCGCGTAACCCAAAAAGCCCATCCAGAAACGATGCCCAGACGAGTTGCCCTGATCAGGGATGCAGAGGAGCACTCAGTGGAATAGAGGGCTGGGTAAGACGTCATACCCCAAGAGGGGAAGGCTGGCGGAAGAGTCGGAGGAGCAGGAGGAAGAGGATGACGGAGTAGAGAGAGGGGGAGGGAGAGAGGGAGGAGGGGGAGGAGGGAGGACAAAGGAGGAAGAGGAAGAGGAGGGGAGGGGGAGGGAGGACAAAGGAGGAGGAGGAGGAAGAGGAAGAGGAGAGCGAGCAGAAAGGCCAGAGGTCTCATGATACATTTCGGAGTCTCTTCGGTTGTCTCGAGAGCTTCTTGGAGTCCCCTCGGGGCGTCTTGGAAGTTACTTGGCAGTCCGAATAGGCCTCTTGGGGCGGCTTGGGTGCCTCTGGCCCTTGGGAGCCTCTTAGGGGGTCTCTTGGGAGCCTCTTGGAGGCATCTTGGGGGCCTCTTGGGGCCCTCTTTTGGCCTCCTGTGCACCTCTTGGGGCCGTCTTGGGGCACCCTTGGGAGCCTGAGGTGCCATCGTGGGGCCATCGTGTGGAGATCGATCAACGGACGGGGCGTGCTAAATTAGACACCTCCCGCACAGGAGGCCCAAATATTGCCAACACCTAAGTTGGAGTTTGGGGGTGAGATCGCAGTGGAAAGGAGAGCCCCCCACTTGGAAATCAGTTTCGGTATCGGCTTCGTGTTCGTGTCGTGCGCGCGGGCGAGGCGAAGCTGCGTGGGCGCGCGAGGAGAATGATGCCGCCGTGGCTAGGGGCTGTGGAGCCCGTTGTCAGCCCTCCCCCCCCCCGCCGGGGCGCGGTGGCGGGGGGTGTCCCGTCAGTGACGCGTCTTTATCCCGTCGGTGCCCCGTCGGTGTCCCGTGTCCCGGAGCAGCGCGGCGCGAGTCAGTGTCCCGGAGCAGGGCGGCGAGATCGATAGTGAGATCGTTTCGGAGATCCATAGTGAGATCCGTTGTGAGATCGATGGTGATATCTGTTGTGGGATCTATAGATCGAATGCGACATCTGTAATCCAATCGCGGCCATCATCACCATCATCATCATCATCATCATCATCAGCAGCATCATCATCATATTCTTCAGCATCTTCATCAGCATCATCATCATCACGCGCCGTCGTCAACTCGAGGGCGTATCACCCGTATCGTCCTCATCACAACCACCAAGATTGACATCAGTTGGTTATTCCCCCCCCATCCTCCTTGCCTCCCGAAGGTGGTCGTATAGAGGTGCACTCAATGATGCTGGCCTTCTCGCCAAGGCCACTTGGGGCGTCTTGGCTGCCTCTGGGGGGGCCTCTTCGAGCCTCGTGGGGATCTCTTGGCATCCTCTTGGGGGCATCTTGGGGACCTCTTGGAGCCTCCTGGGCACCTCCTGGGGCCGTCTTGGGGCACTCTTTGGAGCCTGTGGTGCCATCTTGAGGCCATCTTGGAAGAGATCGATCAAAGGACCGGGACTCCTTAATCAGGGTCCCTCCCCAGGGAGATTCGGGCTCTACGACCAGAAAGACTTTTTGCAACTGAGATGGGATATTCTACAACCAGCAAAGGATTAAACCATATGGTTTTCTTTCTTGGGAAGGACCACTCTACAACCATAACAGACCACTTTACAACCAGACCGGCCCATTTTACAACCCAGATGGGGCTTTTTTCAACCAGCACGGCTTCTTTACAACCAGAACGTCTATTTTTACAACTAGCATTCAGAAGCCTCGGAACGCTCTGCAGAGGCTTCTGCAGTTTCTGAGCGCCTGAGCGCTCTGCAGCCTCTGACCGTCGGAAGCTAGAGGGCCGTGGGAGCAGGAGTCGGATAGATGAGGGGGGGGGACGAGGGACGACAGGCAAGGTGGAGCATGGAGGGCGTCTGTCGTCGTCGTCCGTGGTCGTCGTAGATCGTAGTCAATCATCAGTCGACGGTCGTCGTCGTCGTCGTCGTCGTCGTCGTCGTCGTCCATAGTCGTCTTACTTTGACGTCGGTCGTCGGCCGTCCGTCGACGCCGCCGCCGTGCCCTCTCGCGCGCGCGCGGCGCCCCCTGGGGAGAGGAGGAGGAGGAGGAGGAGCAGGAGGATGAACAAGAGGGGACGGTGACAATGCTAATGATGATAATGATGGTGATAAGAATGATGATGATAGTTACGTAGAGCAGGAGGTGAAGGAGGAGGAGGAGGAGGAGCAGGAGGATGAGCAAGAGGGGATGGTGATAACGCTGATGATGAGCATGATAGTGATGATAATGAAGATGATAGTTACGTAGAGGAGGAGGTGAAGGATGAGGAGGAGGAAGAGGAAGACGAGGACGAGGACGGGGACCGCTGCTACATGTGACGGCTTTTCGTCTCCAGTTCTTTCGGAACTATCATGCAATTCGGGCCGGCGGGTCTCTAGGGCTTCGGTGGGTTTTTTCGGGTGTCTTTTGGAGCCCTCTTGGCCGTGTGGAGAGTCTCTTGGGGCCGTCGTCGGCCTTTGAGGGGCCTTCTAAGGCCGTCATGGATCCTTCGGGAGGCCCGCTTGGGCCAGCTTGGAGGCCCTCTTTTGGCTGCCACGCATGCTCTCTCGTCACTCGTTTTCATCGTCATGCGTCATGCGTCATTCCTCGTTGTCCTCGCTGTCGGAAGGAGGCGGGGCTGGGAGGAGGAGGAGGAGGAGGAGTAGGATAGATGAAGAGTGGTCGGAAGGAAGAGGGTGGAATGTGTAGATGGAGGATGGAGGGCGTCTGTCGTCGTCGTCGTCGTCGTCGTCGTCGTCATTTGTCGTCTTGGCCTATCGTGGGTCATCAATCGTCAGTCGTCGTCTTCTTCGGTCGTCCGTCGTCGGTCGCCGCCGCCGCAGCGCTCTCTCGCGCGCGCCGCCCCTGGTGGAGATGAGGAGGGTGAGGAGGGTCAGGATGAGGAAGAGGACGCGGAGGATGAGGAGGATGATGTTGGCGATGACGTTGATGGAGGAGGCTGGAAATCAGGAGAATGAGCAGGATGGGGAGCAGTAGACTCTTCTCGGTTACACCCGGGATCCCCATTGGATTCCAAGAAAATCCCGACCGAGCTTAAATATGAGATTCCAATACGGTTCCCGTAGCCTTAAACTAAGACGGTTCCCCGATTGTAATCGGTTTCCATTCGGCTTTCATGGAGAAAGTCACCACAACTGTTTCAATCGGAAGCATCTCCATTGGGTTCCAGCAGGACACCAATAGGCCCCAGAGTGAGGAACGCGATCGGATGCCAATGTGTTCATCTGATGTCAATATGATCACCGTCGGAAGTGTACCAACATGATTACAATATGAATTATATTGGATGTGCTTCGGAAGCTGCCACTTTACCTACTCTTGCTACAGATGAGGCGCATTACAACTAACACGCTTCAGATAGCGAAGTGTTCCCTTAAGTGGACCCGCGGAGATTTTGGAAATTGAAGCGCATGTGTCGCCAATATACGTTACGTTGCCTTGTTTGTAATGTGGCTTTTCTGAAAGTGCTCTTCTGAGAAAATCCATGCTGGTTGTAAAGTGCCCCATCTCGGTTGTGAAGTGTCGTTCTGGTTGTGATGTGCCCCGCACGCCCCCCCCCCGGGAGACACAAATATGGCCAACATGATCATCAACATAACAGATTTCGGCCTTCTCGCCGAGGCCTCTTCTGGGGGGCCTCTGTGGGCATCTTGGGGGTCTCTTGCGAACTTTTTGGGGGCATCTTGGAGGCATCTTGGGGGCCTCTGGGGGCCTCCTCTGGGCACCTCTTGGGGCCGTCTTGAGGCACCCTTGGGGGTCCGGGGTGCCACTTTGGGGCCATATAGGAGGAGATCGATCAAACGAAGGGAGGTCCTCAATTGTGTTCCGCCCCCCCCAAGAGGCCAACATGTGGCCAAAACCGCCATCAATTGCTTTGGCTTCATCGCCGAGGCCAACTTGGACGCTCCGTCCAGTCCAGGTCCAGGGGGAGGCGGAAGGTGAAGAAGGGGGTGGAACGATCTCGCGAAACCACTCACGCCCCAAGGGGCTGCTGGGAAGTCGTCGTCGGCGGCGTGACCAGTGTAGGGCACGGTGCTCCCAGGCAGTTCTGCGGTGGAGCCGATTTGGCTCCCGGGCCCGATCAGTTCCAACCCATCTAATCGCTCGACGTGGTAGTGGCCCGCTGCGGGGGGACGACGTCGTCGTCTCCTTCGTCGTCGGCGGCGCCTACCATCTCAGGACGGGGCTGTTGTTTTGTGGCTGGGCCGACCGTGCTGAAGGGCCCGCTCGGCCCCAAGTCATCTTCGACGTGGCAGTGGCGCGCGCAGGGTCGCCGTCGGTGTCGCCGTCGTCGTCGTCGTCGTCGTCGTCGTCGTCGTCGTCGTCGTCGTCGTCGTCGTCGTAATTCAGGGGCCCGCGTCGGGACGGCGTCGCCGTCGTTCGAGCGGGCACGGTTGGTGGGACCGGTCCATGGGCGGGGAAGCATCGACCCCCCACCGCAGCGAAGTCGCCGATTTGGGGAACCCTCCTCTGCCCAGCAACGTGCGGTCTCACCATAGGGGGCCTTACTCGTCGGTGCGCTGGCGATTTGCCGCCGATTCCAGGCCGACGTCCCCCTTACTAAGCCAGTGCCCTGGGTCTGGCTGAATGGTACCTTCATCGTGCCTACTACGCTCCGAAGCTCTGGTTTAGCGGGTCGCTCCGCCGGTTCTGGCCCACCGCGCTTCGGCGTGACACGATATCCACTTCCCGGACCCTCAGCGTCAACGCCCCGAGCTTCTCGCGGCCTCCCGCCTCTGGGAGCGGCGCGACACGACACGCTGCCCGCTCGTATGGCGCAGCGTGCCGCCAGGGCCTTCGCCGCGACACGCTCGCGCCGCTCTGCCTGCGATCTGTCACCGGCCCGAGCTCGACAGTTCCCCCCCCCGAGCTGCCCCCCTCCGGCGCGAGCCTGCGCCCTCTGAGCGTGCGCCCGGCCCCGTCCTCGATCGGAGAGGGTCGGCGGCCGTGGGCCACAGGGCGCGCCCATCCCGTGGCTCATCTACAGCGTCTACTACGGCAGGGCCGTGAGGGTGGGGCCGCGGGGTGGCCGTGGGGGCGGCCTCTTTCCCGCTGCCGCCGCGCGGCAGCAGGGCCCAGGCTGACGTCGGGCCCGTCCCCCTGCAGGGGGATTTTCGACGAAAACTAAAGAATACCCCAAAAGATAATAACAAACATATTCCAAAAATAGTCTGTGGACTATTTTTGAGTATTTTTGTTTGACCTTTTGGTGGCATGTCTGGGGTACTTTTCGTTTTCGTCGAACATCCCCCTGTAGGGGGACACGCCCGACTTACGCCCAGGCCTCGACCCGGATGGTCCTCTGTCTGCTCCGTCGCGGCTGCTTTCCGTCGCCTCGGCCTGGGGGGGCCCGCTTCTCCAGCGGCGGCGATGTTCCGCACGTCGGCGTCGACGGGGGCGTGCGTGTGCGGGCCCTCCTCCTCCTCCTCCTCCTCCTCCTCCTCCTCCGCCTCCTCCTCCTCCTCCCCGGGCTAGCAAAAATGGGTCCAGGGCCAAGGGCGGAAAGACCGCCGCCGGCGAGCCGGTCGGGAGTCTCGGGGTCTCGGTTTGCAGCAGTCACCACCCACCAAACCACCCCAACTCAACCCGAATGCCTCAATGTGTTCTCCATTTCCAGTTGGGAAGGTGGGGAACATTCACAAAAACACATATGGAACCCGTACCCCCCCAACCCGAAGTTCGGGTCTTCGGGTTGGTAGGTAGTCAAGCAGTCGTATCGGAGGATGTCTGGTAGGAACGGGTTTCGGGAGACATGTCCTGGAGTGTTTCGCCGTTCTCGGGCTTCTGGGCCTCCGGGCCCCAGGACGATCAGGAGACGACTCGGGATCAAGAGTTGGTTCTGGGGTGAAGTAGGGGAATCGTCGAAAATAGTCGAACAATAATGCAGGGATGATTTTGAAAGTATTTTTTATGCAGTTTTTGAACATTTTGGGGGTATCTTTATCTTTCGTCCAAAATCCGCCTGTATGGGGGACATGCCCGACCTAACCCTGGGGGGAATACCCCTGGGTCCAGGAGCGTTTCCCTCAGGACCCGCTGCCTTCATCACGGCAGTCTCGCGTCGTCGTCGGTTGCGTGGCTGCAGCAGCAGGAGGAGGGAGGAAGGAGCCCAGAGAGGCAGGAGGAGCGAGGAGGGAGGAGGAGGGGCGAGGAGCAGGGCTAATGGGGAGGAGGAAGAGGAGGCAGGAGAAGAAGAGGGAGCGTGGGGAGGGCAGGAAGAGGGAGCGTAGGGGAGGAGGGAAGGAGGGCGGCGGCAGGAGGAGAGGGCCCAAGGGAGGGCGCGGCAGGCCCCCCGGGGAGGCCAGGGGGAGAGCACCAGGGGGACCCGCGCAGGCCGCCCGGGAGGCCCAGGACGGCACAGGAGGCTGCAGGCGATCCGTGGAGGAGCGGCAGGAGGACGACGGCGACGACGGGCAGCGTGTCTCAGAGGGGCACGACGACGAGCGACGGACGGGGCAGGGGGTGGGGCAGCAGAAGGAACCGCGAGAGGGAGGCGAAGACGGCTCGGGAGGAAGGATGGGGAGGAGGAGGAGGAGGAGGAGGAGGAGGAGGAGGAGGAGGAGGAGGAGGAGAAGGAGGAGGCGGAGCTCCAGGATCGGACGGGAAGAGGAGAACCATCACGAAGAGGAGGACAAATGTTACGTAGGAAAATTCGGAACATGAGCAGTTGTCTTTTGAGCTACTGCAGCTAAGTCATGTTCCACACGCGTTGTGCACGTATGCAGTGTGCTTCAGAGCATAGCAGAAACAAAAACACTACTAGGGAACAGTGAGGACGAGGAGGGGAGTGATCAGGAACACGATGAGGAGGGGATCGTGAGGAGGATGGCGAGGAGGGGATCAGGATGAGTATGGCTTTGCAGGGGAAGGTGGGATAATGATGAGCACGAGGATGGGGATGATTATGATTTGGCGGGTGATGGGAGGAGCAAGAGAATGAGCCCGAGGAGGTGGACGACGACGACGACGACCAGCACGGTACACGGCGGGCTTTGCAGGCAACGCTTCGACCGGGCAGCCAGCAGGAGGGGGACGATTCCTGGTGCTGGGCCGAGGGGTCGGCAGCGCAGCAGGAAGAAGATGGCAGGTGAAGATGTCAAGCGGTTGCGAAGGAGAACGGAGAGAACGGTCAAAAGGGGAACCTCTTCGTCGCCGAGGATCGATGTGGCGTGACGAGACCCTTCGGTATCCGATATGTCAGCGCGGTAACCGTAGGAGTAGGAGACGATGACAGGTGCGCAGACGAGTTTAACTTACAGCTGTTACACACCTTCGTCCCTACCATAGATCCTGAAACCAAGCACAACGAAGCAGCGTCTGCAGTCGTCGCGTCGTGTCTGGTCCATCGGGGACCCACGACATGAAGCATCACCCGTACAATGTTTTCAGTTTCCTCGGGATTCCACCGGGGGCGCGAGCGAAAGGAGTCATTGGAGGGCAGAGCTGCTCGTTGGCTGACGGACGGCGTGGCAGAGATCCTCACCCGCAGAGGGAGCATGCCAGCGCTTGAATGACACCCTCAGGCTGCAAGAGAGCCCCTCCCCCTGCACCCTGCAGCCTGGGATTGACATCGCCGCCGTCGAACTGCTACTACACGTGCGGTCTCAGGTGATCAAGCGAGCGGGGGCACCTGCTCTTCCTGCCCATTCTCTTTGCCTTCCCCTCACATTCTCCTTATACTCCTGGCTTCCCACCCCGTCCCTCCTCCGCCCTCCTTCTTTCTCGTTTACCCCCCTTGCTGAAGCCCCTGGGACAGCAAACTCAACAAGTGCATGAGGAGGGTCGAACGGACGAGGCACCTGGGGTGGGTAACACCTGGGGTGAGTAAGAAGAGGAGGAAGAAAACGACCAGGAAGGGGGGGAGGATGTCCAGGAGGAGGTCGAGGATGGCACGAGGAGGATGAGGAGGTGGTGGAGGAGGAGGAGGAGCAGGAGGAGGAGGAGGGTCGGAGGAGGAGGGGGGAGGTTGAGGTGGAGGTGGAGGTGGTTGTGGAGGATGGGGGGAGGAGGAGGAGGAGGAGGAGGAGGAGGAGGAGGAGGAGGAGGAGGAGGCGGAGGACGGGATGTTGTTAGCATCCACGATGTCGTAACCCGATATACACCCCTGGATGTGGGAGAGGCCACATGGGGGATGGTCAGACTTCAGATCTGAGAAGGCACCGAGCTGAAAAATGACCGGGTGTCGCGCCATGCGCTGTGCACACACGGCTTCACGACACTGCAAATGGCAAAACATGTTTGAATCGAAGGAAACCCCATGGTTTTTAGGTAGGACGAAGCCCCTGCTTCCATGTATTCCACGGGTTGCTGTGCGAGGCCACCTTGTCTGGCACACTTTTTTGTCGAGGTGTCTACGCTTCCCCCCCCCGACGTCACATGAGAGCACATGTGGCAAATACAGCAAATACACAAAACGACCCATCTGAGCAATCGAGCAGCGCACAACGATGGCCGAGGGCCCGAAGCTCCGCGGGCTGCTCACACAAACCTGTCGAGCACGTCCCCGACGGGGGCCCGACCGATGGCACTCCGCGCCTTCCTCGCAAACGCGTAGCACACTGCCAATTGTTGCCGACCCACCCCCATTGGTGCACAACGTTCTCTCTTGGTGCTTTCTTCACAAGAGGGGCGGGGATACGTTGGACATCTGGGCCGAGGGACAGACGTGGCCACACGAGCAGCTCGGCCCCAAGTCGTCCAACAGCACGGGCGATGGCACAGGATGAAGCAAGACCTCCGCGAAGCTCTTCGGCAGGCTCAGGATGCAAGGATACCGCTTCTCTGGCGGCCCGATCAGCCCAGTCGCTGCGTTGCCGCATATAGCGGTCTTCGTCATCGGCAGCCTCGTGGACAGCGAGATGGACCCGAACCTTTCCAAGTTCAGCTCGATGCCACGCTTGCTGCAGAAACGGGGCCGTGCCGCCATACATCCTTTAAGCCGAGGCCTGTTCGCCCCAGGACGTCTTCCGCCCTTTCTCTGCTAATTAAAACTGTGCGTTTCCCGCTTAGCCTTCAGCGGAAGAGGTTCGCTCTCGCCCTGCAGATAAAAAAAACTGTTCGCCCCAGGACACTGCAGCACCATCCACAGCCCCAGCAGTCAGCTCCAAAGCGTGCTGGGCCCCGTGGCTCGCTGCACGGCGGCAGGGATCGCATGAGCCTCACGCGCCCGAGGCGTCTGAGGACACGGCGCCCCCACAGAGGCCCTCGCACACGCACCATGATTGTTCCCGTCTCGCGCGACGCAAGGGGTGATGGCCCAGCCAGCCATGCTCAAGTCTCCGACGACGCACCCAGTGCAGGATTCCCCAACACAAAAGCGACGTTGATGTTCCCTTCCTCCTCCCTGCTCCTCCTCCTCCTCCTCCTCCTCCTCCTCCTCCTCCTCCTCCTCCCACTTCAGCTCGGCGCCCCCCCCCCTCGGAGAGCGGCGGCTGGAAAACGTCGGCGGGGCGGGCGGGCGAACACTCAGTAGCATGCCAGGTTGTCGTCGGCCTCGGCTGCCCACTTCTGGATCTTCTGAGGCACTAAGCTGCCCCTTGGCTCCACACACTCAGGGTCTTGCCACTACCAGAGGCGATGTCTGTGTGGCCAAGGCGACCCCACACCTCGGGCACAAATTCGACGGCAACACGTAGCCTAGGCTTTCGGCCCTGGCTCTACTGTAGCTAGCATTGCAACAGAGGGCTCTCAAACAACAATTCTGATAGGGGGTATTAGTACTACTACGCAGGTCGCTGAGCACAGGTTTCACATACACTCTAGCTTGCATTCCGAGACGAGCCCCCATATCCCATTCAAGCCCCCTCAACACGGCCTTTCGCAGCAAGTTGTGGATGAGGCGAGGAGAGAATTCGGTGAGCTTCAGAATTGGGCCCTGGTCATTCACCAGCACCGCGAAACTCGGCATGGTCCAGGAAACCCGCTCACAGGATTCACGAAGGGCGGTCACAGGGCCCGAAACATTTCGCCACATCGGGGGTGCGTTTGCCCTTGAAGCCCCCCCACCCCCCAGGCGGCCCGCAACTCCGTGCGGTCCAAGGTGCTGGTAAGACCGATGTTGGGCCCACCACACCTCATTGGCCCACCTGCAGATCGGCGAGACCGACGCATACCAGCAAGGCTCGCCGTGCGCCAGCAACAAAGGTGAGCGAACGGCCCTTGGCCGACGGTTGCAGCACCGACGCCGCCTGCCGGCGACACTTCAGCAATTCAAAATCGCTGATCCCATGAACCTCGGATCCAAACAGACCGGACGCCAGGGCCCCAGAAGCAAAAACGTTCCGAGCAGCCTTCCCACCGCTGGCGGGCTTCAGCTTTCTGAGGCACAAAGACCGTGGATGTGCTGCCCCTCGTCTTCTGCTTCGAGCTGCGACCTTTTACTCGACGGGGCCGGCCTACACAGTCATCCACGCCGAGGTTCGGCGCCGAGCTGGCGAGCGGACCTGGCAGCCCTCCAAGCTTGGCGGCCAACTGCTTGCCCGGCGCCCTGGACGAGCAGATCAATGATCGCTTCCCCTCGTCCGCGCTGACCTTAGCTCCCACCCCGTCCTCCAAAACCGAGAAGAGCGCCCGAGCAGCTGGCGGCAAGTGGCAGTTCATGTATTCCCTAGAGCCTGTGGCGCTAAGCCCCGAGTCGCCGATGTAGATCTTAAAGTGCAGCTTAGGTGGCAGCTTTAGTATGTCGAGGTCCTGGATGGAGTAAATTTGGGTAACAGACGTCGCAAACGTACAACCCGCGATAATGCCCCACCATGGTCCCGACGGGCCCGTCCGCGCACCCATGCGACACAAGAAACGGGCCTGGAGGCACACGCTAATCGCCAACACCGCAATAGCAATCGGGAAATGCGTGTGCCCGCAACGCCACAGGATGAGGCGGATATGGATCGCCACAGATCAAGCAACACCGTAGCCGCCTCATCCTCGTGAAGGGTCGAGGTCTCTGCTCTCGCAACCCGTCTCCAAAACGCATCCCGAGCCCCCCTCGAAGGGCCCCGCCGCGAAGCAGTCTCACGCGTGCGCCTGCCCGGGCCAGCGGGCGCCGAACCCTGCCGTGCGCGCGGTGCGGGGCACGGAAGTTTCCCATCGGACGCAAGCCCGCACGGGGTCTGGGGATCAGCGCGAGCAACGTGGCCGCAGTCCGACGGGGGACAAGGGCAGTGACCTCCGTCACGGCAAAAAAAGCGCAGAGACAGCCCGCATCAGGCAATCCTTCATTCAAGTCGAAATGCCTCCTGTGGAAGCCGTTCACACTGACCGAAGTGCTATCTTTGAGACGTCTCGAGAATTCTCTGATGGCTTCCACGGGCACTGGCTCTAACTCGGGGGGCAACGCTCCTATCTCGAACCGGGGGGCTGGGCTGGCATCGCCCCAAAGGTCCAAGAACCTCTTCGACTCCGCTTTGAGGAGAGAGAAGGGATCAGCCACCAGCACTCCCTCCAGGGAGAGGGTGGTGGTGGGGGTCCAAGGAGTGGCACCCTTGCTCACTAGTTGCAATATACGAGACCCTCTGTCGGCCTTGTAAAGCAGCCATTCCCTACACTCCTTATTGTATTCGCCAGCCTCCGCGCTTCCGCTTCGACTTTTGCCAGGACCCCTTGGAAGGATTCCACCAGGCTCCGAACAAATAAAAAAGCAGACTTTCCTCCACCTCATGCATGTACAGTTCTTCGATGAACGACCGACAGTTGGTTCTAGTAAGTGGCTGGCGCACTAGGGCGGGGACTGCAAGGCGTCCATGACGCCCTTGATACCTGCTTGAGACCCGACAGCCCAGTGCCTTTCGAAGACACAGAACATGTTGGTCAGCCACCTAATGGCAAAGAGCTCATCATTACCCTTGGCCCTATCCTTAGCCAGGACGTCGCGCCAGTTCATCCGGGGTGTCTTACCCCTGGCGCCCCCCAAAAGGGCAGGACCTCACCAGCAGCAGCAGCGCAAACCTCGCGCTCGGCAGCATTGGCCCAGTCCTTTTAGGCCTTGTCCAGGCCCGCCTGGGCCGCATCCCGGTCCCCCTCGAGCGCGGCTTGACGAGCCGAATCCAGCACGCCCAGGGCCCACGCTGGCTCAGGCCACGGCTCGACACGGCACACAGGCGCCGGAGGGGATTGGTGGGAATCGGCGGAGGGCGGCGAGAAAAGTTGAGGCTTTCAATCTACCGAACTTCGGGTGCAGCGCAGAGCGCACCGACGAATGAGGGATCACAGTGGACTCTTGAAGCACCCTGACCGAGCTCGCCGCCTTGGCAATGTCAGCCGAGACGGGAAGAGATTCATACTGCGTGCCCCTCGCCACCGATTTGCAAGTGTGCCCTTCAGGCACTGAGCACTGGATGGTGTGCGGTTTGGCCCCCAGCCCCGAGGAGAGGAGGGCGCGGGGTTCCACATTGAAATCCGCGCCCAGGATAAAACGGGCGCCCCAGGGCCGCCCCCAGGGACAAACACGAGCACAGGATTTCAATATTTGCATCCGAAGGCTCCTGGCAGGCATGGAGATGGGCGGACATGACCGTCAAGGCGGGCTGGCCTGGAATCTCGACAATGCCGACCAGCGCACTCGAAGCCGTGATGACGTGGCCCGACGGTGGCGAGTGTAGGCCCAGCGCATCACGAACAAAAATGGCAACGCCTGCTGAGGGTCCCTGCCCTGCTCCAGGTACTGCTGCACTCCATGGGCTCTTCCAGCCGTGACGTCGAGCCTACGACGAACCAGACTTCACCAGGCCTGCCACTTGTCCAGGCTCCTGCATGACCACCCGGTGCGCCTTCATTTTTGTGAAGCCAGAGCTGGCCAGACCCCCACCCAGGCACATTACAACTCCCAGTGTATGGTGCGCAAGAGTCCTGAAGGAAACACTCGGCCTCGAGAGGCTGCAAAAGCTACTCTCCCTGGGACGGACTGTCCTGGGGAAAGCGCGGGCCTCGTAAGGCCATTGGCCGAGAGAAGGAGGTCGGGTGGGCCGAATTCGCTAGAGCCCCCTGGCCCTGAGCAGAGTATGGCACACCACCATCGACAAAGCCTTGCACTCTCTGGGTCTCTTCACTACGGCATTGGTGTCAGCCTGGAAGATCCACGACAGGCGAGCAGACGAAACGTGTTCCAGAGCTGCTGCCGGCGAGAGCGGTGGCATCATGTAGCGCCAATGCCAATTCTAGACGCTTCGCGTATCCCCACCAGCCCGTCCAGAAACGACGCCCAGGCGAGTAGAGGGTCGTCCTGAGGGGCTTTTCGGCGTCTTGGGTGCCTCGGGGGGGCCTCTGTGGGCCGTTCGGGATCCTCTATGGGCCTCCTGGGGGCCTCTTGGGGCCTCTTGGGGCCATCTTGGGGCCTTTGGGGGCCTCCTGGGCGCTTCTTGGGGCCTCCTGGGCGCTTCTTGGGTGCCTCTGGGGGGTCTCTTGGGGCCTCTTGGGGGTCTCTTGGGGGCCTCCTGGGGGCCTCTTGGGGGGCCTCGGAGCCATCTTGGAGGAGATCGATCAACGAAGGGGGGTTCCCTAATTACAGCCCCCCCCTCAGGAGCCACGATCCTCGTGAGGGGTGTCGAATTTTAGCCCTCCCAGGGGTCGATCTTGGGCGCTCCAACGCGCCGCGGAACCCCCTGTCCAGGTCAGTGGGGAGGGGGTAGGGGGAGGGGTAAACCCCTCCCCGAAGGGGAAGAGGGAGGGGTGGAAGAGGAAACTCGTTAAACCACCGACGCCCAGAGGGCTGGTGGGATTCTCGTTCGCAACACTCAGGATGTCCGGACAGGTAGTTTTTCGACACCGCATCGGGCGCAGGGTGGGGACGGGGGAGAAACGAGGACTCCGCCCCTGGCCGCTCCGAGTGCCCGGCCGCACAGGGAACGCCCACCAAGGCAGGTCGGACCCACGTGGCCCAGGCCCGTGTCCAAAACTTGCTCGGAAAGTTGGCCTGGCGGGGAATTCGGACGAGCAAGTCCAGGTGGCACACGCGTGAAGGACGATGGAAATGCCCCCCCCCCCCCCCCCCCCACAGGCCCTGCCTGGGGGGGGGGGGGGCATGCAACACTTGCTGCGCACGGGCTCGCACATCGTCGGCAGGGGCAGCACCGCTTGGAGACGAACTATCGCCGGCTGCACCTCCAGGCTGAGTAGCTGGTTCCTCTGCAGTGGCGCCTTCACGTGCGCCCTGCGCAGCTGGCCCCTCAGTAGCTGCTGGGGCCTCCTTTGTCTCGGCCTCGACACAGCGCTTCTTGCCCGCCAGGTGCAGGAGCGTTCGCGTTACTCCTCGCGGAACTTCGACGCCTGCTCGGCTGCGGCCCCGAAGAGCTGCTGCACATGCTGCTGGATGGACTGCTGCGAAGTCCTGAGTCGCGTCGCGGCTTCCCCGTTTCTCTTCTGGGGATAGATCGTACTCAGTTTCAGGCGCCAGGAGCGAGTCCAAGTTGGTTGGGAGCTGCTTGCCGTCCAGGATATCCTCGATCGTGACCTGAGCGACTGTAGGAGGAGACACCTCGGGTGGCTGGCTACGACCGCCTTCCACTTGGAGATGCAGCTCGTGCACCAACGACTTGTGATTGGTCTCCGCAGCTGCCAGGTCATCGCTGAGCTTCTGAACTGCACCGCGCTGAGCTACCGGGTCACTCTGCAGACGCTCGCAGCGGGAGACCGCTTCGCTGAGCCTACCCTCCAGAGTACGCATCTCGGTGAGAGCTTTCCCACTCGCTCCTGAAGGGGAGGCTCGACTTTCTGCACAGCACAGTCGGGGCCCTGAAGAAAGAACCCTTTTCGTTGGGGAGGGGTTCCGCGTTCCTTGAGTGTGTTCGCAGCTTGCCTCAGGTTTTCCTCATGCCCTCGATGGGAGAGCGAAGTGTAAATTATGGAAAAGAGGGGCCTCGTTCCTTATTTTGGGTTCCTTAGGTCAACGCCCCGACTGTACGAGGAGGAGGAGGAGGAGGAGGAGGAGGAGGAGGAGGAGGAGGAGGGAGGAGGAGGGGGGGGAGGAGGAGGAGGAGCAGGAGGAGGAGGAGGAGGAGGAGGAGGAGGAGGAGGAGGAGGGTTGGCGGCGCCGCCGACGCCGCCCCCGATAGTGCAGCCGCGCGACCAGCCAGCGGCCGGCGAGCCCTCTCGGCGGCAGGCCCTGGCCCCGGGGCGCCCTCCAGGCGCGGCACCAAGGAAGCGGAGAGAGAGGACACGGAGGCACTGGACCAGTGCTTGCGGGCCCTCTCTTTCCGTCTCCTGGGTTGGATTGTTTGTCTCGTTGTTGAAGTTTTTGCTGCTGGGGGGGTGAGATTTCCGGGCCAATCTTTTATTTTTTTGCAGTTTTTTTTTGGGGGGGATTTTCGCAGGTTTTGGCTCAGAGGTTCTGTTGATGCTTCTTCTGAGTTTGAGTTTCGTCGCGCGATGTGGCGGTGGACCGCCTGTAGTCCCTATTGCCGGACCTAAGCATTGGCAGCTCAGCAGTCCAAGTGCCAGGCGGCATGGCGACACAAGATTGCAAGCCCGCGTTCCACCCAGACTTCGGGGGCAACGATAGGGGGGGATAGGCATAGGGGGGATGCATCGACCCCCAATCGCCCATTGATCGCCGATAGGGGCCCGATAGCCCCAAGCTGCCCATGAAGGTGCGGATTCACTATCGGAGGCCTATCGCCGATCTGTCGGTGATGTGTCGCCCATTCCAGGTCGATGCATCCCCCCTATGCCAGTCCCCCCGTTATCGTTGCCCCATCAAGACTGCCACCCTCCACGCGGCGGGCTCTCCAGGTCGAAGGTCGGGAAGCCTCTCCCACGCCCGGCCAGTTGTGCACGACCTCCCGCGGCTGCGTTTTTTTCTTTCTGCAAGTCCATTTCGATTGGGCGTGGCCACGGTGTCCTTCATGGCCACCTGCATCTGACCGTTGCCACGGCCAGCCATCCTTCAACGCGCTGCGCCTGAAGCGTTGGGGGGCCATGGCGAGAGGTTGCCGAGGAAAGAAATGGCCTCGGTTCCCCGCTGAAGTTGGCTCGCAGGAGCGCGTGCCCTTCTGAAGAACTGCTCCTGCAACGCTGCTCGAGCGCAGAAGGGATGAGGCGGACGACGGGAGGAGAAGGATGAGTAGGGGCAGGAGGACAAGGAGGAGGAGAAGAGAAGGAGGAGGCGGAGGATGAGGACGATGCGATCCGGTGGAGGCGGAGGTGGCGAGGAGGCCGAGGAGCAAAGGGCAGCAGGAGCAGAGAGGATGCCCGCACCTCCGCCGTGCCGCCCCGAGAGCGGGGGCGAGGATGCCCACCCACCACGAACGGGGCGGGAGGTCCAAAGCCAGCCGACGACCATGACGGTGTGGATCGGCTCCACCTCGAGACTCGTCGTCGACGTCTTCGTCGTCCCGGTCGCGGACGTCGTCGACGACGTCCTCGTCGTCACCATGGGGTGCGGTCCTCGCCATCGCCGTCGTCGCGGTTACCGTCGGCGGCTCGCGAGTCGTCGTCGACGTGCTCCTCGTCCTTGTCGTCGTCGTCGTCGTCGCCGTCCTCGTCGTCGCGGTTGCCGTCGTCGTCGTCGTCGTCGCCGTAGTCGCCGTAGTCGCCGTCGCAGTTGCAGCAGGATGAGGAAGAGGCGGAGGAGTCATGAATTAAAGGGTCGGAGGAGGCGGAGGAGGAGGAGGAGGAGGAGGCGGAGGAAGAGGAGGAGGAGGAGGAGGAGGAGGAGGAGGAGGAGGAGGAGGAGTGGTCTTCACCACGACGGGGAGGGTCAAGAGGGCATCTGGTCCAGAGCTGTTTCGCGGTCTGGGACCTCCTCGGTCGCCTCCCCGCGTCGTGGGGGCCGTCCAAGAGTAGCGCGGCGTGGAAGGACACACTTTCAGGGAGAACGCTGAGCGGCTGGGCTCGCCTCGAAGACCTGGTCAGACTCAGGAGGGAAAGAAACACACAGACACAATGCATCGTCGAGTCCCAGGGAAATATGGGAAAGTATGGGAATTGGGCGGGAAGACAACAAAACCCAGAACATATGGGAAACTATGGGGGTATGTTTATTTGAGTGTATTTATTTGTGTGTCCCAGTTCCCCTTCACAGACCGAGCCCTGGAAGAGGTCCATCTTCGCGCCTGTCAAGTCGTCGTGTGGTTGTGTGTGTGTTGCCTGCCAGGGCCACAGCAAACCCAAAAAAGCAGCATGACGCGAAATTCGCCCGCAATCAAAAACCGCTGTGCGCGTCTGTGCGGATCTGCGCATTTGCACGAGGTCGGGGAATCACGCAGGAGCATTCCGATCTTGAGAACTCCGAGGGCATTCCCGCACGAAAAGCAGCTGCCCTCGTTTTTTTGGTAACGCCCAGAATTCTGGGCCTCGAGCTAACCTACGGTCAGGAACTTTGGCTTGGCGTGTCGCGTCGCCAGTTCTGGCCCATCAAGCTTCGGCGCGGCATGCTACGGTACATCGACAAAATGTTGCACCACCTGGCGCTGGAAATAAATCGCATCGCTGTCGTATCAATCGTGTGTCCCCCCCACCTCCCCCCCGATCTTAATATTGGGTTCGGACCCGGGCTGGTCGAAACAGCTCGGTGGTGCAACATTTTGTCGGGAGCCCCCGGGCGGAACAGGGGCTCTTCGCCATGCACCCAATATTAAGATCGGGGGGAAAGGGGGGGGCAAGAGCAGTGCAGTACAGGTGCCAATTCCCAGCACACGTGGTGCAACATTTTGTCGATGTACAGTATCCACGTCCTAGCCCCCCAGCGTCAACGTCCCGAGCCTTTCCCCCGCCTCGCGGAGTGGAGCGACACGCTCTTCGCTCGCAGGGCCAGCGCGTCGCCGGGGCCGTTGCCGCGACACGCTGAGCGAACATTCCCGACCGCAGTCGAAGATCAGACTTGTCACGAGGCGTGTCTCGAGGGGGAATGACGACGTATAACACCCTAACGACGGGATAGATGCACCCGTACAAGATCATCCGGCTGCACGCGGAGCCCTCTGGGAATTCCGGCGTTCGCGCGCGCGTGCCGAAGTTTGTTCGAGACTTCGCATCTGTATTCTCGAACCTGTAGGATGTGTGATAAACGAGTTTGCGCGCATAGTGATGTTTCACGGTGCTGAGGGGGTTGGGCGGGGCGACAACGGCCTGCCTGAACTGGTATCGGTTCATGATGGAGGAGGATCATGCGTACCTTGCATTAGCCCTGGGGGAACCGATACTTCGGGGGCGGGGGAGCCTTGTTTCTGTCGAGCAAGGTGATCCGACGTGGTGCAATCCATGCGGTGCAAATGATTGTGAAGAGCTTGGAGTTGTCAACGCCATTGCCCGCGCAACCATCCCACCCACCCACCCGCAACTTGGTTTGCGAGGCCCATGCGGCGGCGATGCGGCAATTGCAATACCTGCTGGCCGCTGGCTGGCGCATCTCTGCTGCCGCGCTGGCGCGCACATGCTCGCGCGCATAGGAACCAGCTGGTTTGGCACGACCGACGCGGCCGCGGTGGCGCTCACCGATGTGGAGTTCCCAGCGCGCGTCAAGGGCCGCGCTGGCGCGCGGGCGCTTCACTGCGAGTCGGTGGCGCGGGCGGGCACGGTATCATGCTGACGTCGGCAACGGCGGAAACGATGATGATGGTAGCGGTGATGGTGGCGATGATGACGATGACGGCGGCAAGGCCACTGACAGCGCCGATGTTGGTCACGCCGATGTCGGTGATGATGTCCACGCGTCGACTGTGAAGTTTTCGGAAGAATTTCGACGCGCGCGCGGGGCCGGCGCGCGCGAGTGGCCCCCGCACGGTATTATTCGACAGGGGTCGCGCCCCCCACCCCCAGCCCCCAGCAAACGCGCAATGGCGTTCGGATGTTTTCGACAAGCGCGCGAGAGGGGCCAGCTTGGTCACACTATATGACAGCTTTGAAATGTCCGTGGTTCCCCGAAGAACTCGCCAGAAGGCGCGCGCAGATTTGTTTGAACAAACATGTTCCTGACACAAGTTTTTTGTCAAACGATATTTTTGGGAACCTCCTTCTTGAAACCCTTGCGAAAAACTTTGTGTTTGACCAATTTGGGCATGCGCGCGACGACGCGCGCGTTACAATTCTGTCGCTTGGCTTGGTTAGCAACAAATCTCTTTGGTAAAAAACTGCAGATTGTTGCTAAAAGAGTGCACACGCATTGTATTATGTATTTGACATGGATGAGGGGAGGGGCCATGACGGCCTGGCTTGGACCGGTCGAGTTCATATCCGATGCTCGCCGCATATAGTTAGCATTCGCCCCGGGGGAAAATCGTCTGGGCTGGGTGGTAGATTTCAATTCCTATGCCGAGGAGGCTCAAATTGGTGGCGGCATTGCGGCGACGGCGACCACATAACCGCAAAACCGACGCACAGGCCCAAGCGAAAGGTGGCGACGGGGCGACGACAGGGCGGCGACGGCGACCACATAGCCGCCAGACCGACGCACAAGCCCATTTCCCCAGAGAAGATGTGAGAACCCCTAAGTGCAAGCACTGCTCGGGGAATCGTACCCCGCATTCTGGCCGTGCAATTGGAGGCTGATGCCCAGGCTTGGGAATTCCAACCTCCTCGATGTCCTGGGAGGGGTGCGTCTCGACCAGGGTTCCAGGGAAAGTCCCGCCCGGGGCCACGGTGCCCCAGGGGGGGGGCCTTAGACAGCCCCGCGACGCCCAAGAGCCTCGAGCCCCGCGGCCCTCGATCTCTGCCTCTCGCTGTTTCTCTGTCTCGCTCTCTCTGCCTCTCTCCCTGTCTCCCTCTCCCTCTCTTTCTCCCTGGGGCGCTCCAGAGAAGGCTCTCGCCGTCGAGGGCCGAAGGAGTTGGCGTCTCTTCCCCGCCGGGGGTAGTAGATGCGCCTCAGGAGATGACAACCTGTTTTGGTCCAGGGTTTCCGGAACCCGTCCTCTCTCTCCTTTTGTCTCTCTGTTTCTTTGTGCTCCTTTGGGCGCGAACGCCGCGGTCCGACAAGGCTTCGGGTACTTAGCCAATACCTGAGCACAACGGACCAGAAGCAAAAGCAAAACGCACAGTCTGACAGCTCGGCCTTCTTTGCTACTACATGTGCGGCGGTGACCACACCCAGCAGAGGAAAGTCCGCGCGGGCATCTCGGCCAACCCATCACCGCTGCGCGGATGGTGTACCCAAAAGGAAAAACCCAGGAACATCCGGCATGGAAGTGCCCTATCTGGGAGGGGAGTCGGACCGCCTTGAAAACCAAGATCACCGATCGGCAATGGAGAGGCCTCCCTCATCACACAAGGCGTTACGGGCTGTCTGAAGAAGACCCGCTGCTGCTGGACCCTCGGGCCGCCCTGGCACAGGGCGTGCCCCCTCCAGCCCAGTCCCCGGCCCCCTCCCGAAGGTTCCAGCGGAGCCGATCGTTCCGCGGAGTACACCGACGACGACACGGGGGCCAGGTGGGTTTATGCGGCCGCTGGCGGAGCCTGCACGCACCAGGCCCACCCGCTCCCTGCCAGAGCTGGCTTCGGAGTCTACATCCCTCGTCGAAATTGAACGCAAGTTCTAGCCGCGACCTGGCGGCGCCCCCCGACCTCCAATTTCAATGTTCACGCCGACGGCGGCGACTTCGAGATTTTCTTCGGACCCCGCCGGCCGCGATGCGCCTGTCGATGAACATTGAAATTTGGGGGCGACGCGGGTGGAAAAAACTTGCGTTCAATTTCGACGAGGGTTGTAGTACGGGCCTCACCACCGAGTTAATCATGTGGCTCGGGTGCACGGCTTGGCCCAGTCCGCGCAACGCGCTGAGGCCCTCGCCCTGCTCCGTCTGGTGGCTGCTGCGGAGCGGCCTGTCCACGCATTGGATGACAACCAAGCCGTCGTCGACGGATCCGAGGCCCTCCGCGCAGGAACGCCGCCACAAGTCAACGGAGCTCAGGCTGAACTCTGGTAACACATCCAAGCAGTTACAAGCCGAACCTGACAGGTTCAAGATCCAGAACGTCGGAAACCATCTCGATGAGCAAAGCAAAACTGAAAGCATAATCACGCCACCCACCGAAACCTTTTAATCGCCACGCAGATGAATTCGTCACTGCCGGAGCACGTGTACACGCCCTGCAGCAAGATGCCCGTCATAAGCGGGGCCAAGTGGCGACGCAAGTTCGTGGCGGTTCGGCGCAGCACTGCTGTCGCGATCCATGATTGTTGCCACCACGCGTTGCTTTCGCGAAACAGACGCGCGGGATATTCTTGGAATGGATTTAGCAAGCTGAAGCCTGCTCCGCCCACCATTGAGCCCAGAGGGCAAGGTAGTGACAAGCCACCAGGCTCACTTGGCGATCTCTCGCAACCGCAAGGACCTCCAGGGTCGGACTTATTCGACGACCTCGACGACCAATGGGGTGGCCCAGCCGACGACTTCGAAGGCGAAGACGAGGACCCATTGAGGTTTGGTGCGGCCCCGGATAGCGGTGAAGAAATCATAGCCGCTCCAGCAGGAGGTGACGATAGCGACGGTTACTGAGTCAGCAGAGGCCCTCGGGAGCGGTGCCTCCAAAGGCGGTTGTCCACCAGGACCAAGCCTCCGCGGCCACCATCCATAGTCACCATGGCGACTCCCCCTCCCACCAGGGTACGGGGACTGGCGACCGCCCTACCACCCAAGTGGGTGCAGGCACTGGTGCAACGCCAGCACAGCGCACGGATCGCGGGTACGCCCCAACGCAGCACTCCATGGCTGCCACGCAGCAGACAGATCGGGAACGTGGAACGTGTCTAATCGCTAGCTTCTTGGCGCTGCAACAGTGTGCCACAAACATTGCGCAGCTCCTTCTTTCCATCCAGGAACAGTCTGGCCCTTCCTGAGTTCTTTGGTTGACAAAGTCTAACCAGCTCAGTCCGCTGGGAACGACGGACAGCAGAACTTCTATCGGGGTCGCTGTCCAGGGAAGTCTTCAGGCGCACCTTGAAGCTCACCGCTAGCACACCAGTGCTAGCCTCTCTTCTCTCGGGTGCGCTGCGCCAGCAGCCGGGAAGTGCGCGAGCAGCCGGCAGCTGTTCGGCGGTCTTCGCAGTGGGACGCTGCAGAGGATGCTCCAAGCTGGCTCACTGAGGCGCTGATGCGCGCAGGCCGAAGCGCGCTGGATGCCGGCGCCTGCTGCTCGGGTATGCGGACGGGGTGTGCCACGCCCTGATCACCACAGGCCCGTCCTCATTTTTGTTCCAAGCGGGGACCCCTAAGTCCGCGCCCGTATGTTTCCCGACCCATGTCCGTCTCGCGGCTCCCCCCGCCATTGTAAGGATGGCTTGGGCGGCGTTCGCCCCTGTCAGTGTTGCGCCCCCCCCCCGCCATGGCGAGGATGGCCTGGGCGGCATGTACAGGGGCAGACAGACTGCTCCGAACTGCTGCGCTCTCTGCCTGCGTGTCTCTCTCGCTCTCTCTCTCTCTCTCTCTCTCTCTCTGGCCACGATGGGAGAAGGGCCCTGAACGGCACGGATCCTGCAGTCGGCCCGGATCAGTAGGCCGACCCTGCCAAATCGAGGGTATTTCTGTGTCCTGCGTCTCGCGACCCGTGCCTCCTGCATTTCTGTGGCAACGTGGCCCTCGGAAGGGTCTTAGGGTCGTATGTCCTCTCGCGTGTCCTCTCCAATCAAGCCTTACTGTAGACCCCAGGGCTCCCCCGGGGACCAGGCTCTCCATCCCGAGCCACCTGTTGACGGTCCCTCCCTGGGGGCCCCCGGAGGGCCCCGGGGCGCCCGATGACCCAATCAGAGCACTTGAAAGCATACGTGGCGAGTCGAGGAGTAGGAGGCAGGCTGGTGAAGGCGTGCATTGAATACACGCTTTCAGGAGGAGGAGGAGGAGGAGGAGGAGGAGGAGGAGGAGGAGGAGGAGGAGGGGGGATGATGATGATGATGATGATGATGATGATGATGATGATGATGATGATGATGATGATGATGATGATGATGATGATGATGATGATGATGATGATGATGATGATGATGATGATGGTGGTGATGATGGATTCTTCCAGATTCTTCTGGATTCTCCCGGGCGCCATCAGGTCTTCCCAGATTTCTGCGGATCCCTCGACAAGCGCTCAGGCGTCGAGCGCCGGCAAGATCTGAATGACACTCCTAGGTGCCCGTGGGGCTCAGTGGTGAGGGGCGACCCAGGCCTCGTTCCTCCAGGATCCGCCTCCTTTGTTGTAGTCGCCCCGCGGGGTGGGAGGGCAGGTTGCAATATGGAGGATCACCCGTGAGGGGAGGAGGCGCGTGCGCCGGCGCGCGCCCCCCGCTCCCCTCCCGTCTACAGTTAAGCAATATGAGTACCACTCACCCCTCCTCCTTCTCTCCTCCTCCTCCTCCTCCTCCTCCTCCTCCTCCTCCTCCTCCTCCGCCTCATTCTCCTCCTCCTCCTCTGGTGGCGTCCGGGAAATGGCCAGCCCCCCTCCGCGTACTGGCTTCTTACACACAGGATTCCCGGGAAGCGGGTTGTCGCTGGGCTTTGTTTCAAAAAGTGCTGCTCTCGCTGTAGCGCTTGCTTCATTTTCGGGCTGCCGCTCCGAATCGCGCTCCTGCGGCAGTGCTGGCCTCATTTCCGCGCTTCCGCTCGTTCCGAATCGTGCTCCCGCCGCAGCGCTGGCGTCATTATTTTCAGCGCCATGCCACGGCACGGTTTTCGGTCCTTCCAGATCTTTTAAAGTAGGTCCCAAAATCTAGAAAATGGCCTCCCGAAAAAACCATTGGAAGTGATTGCACATTCGGTGCCGATTCGCTGATTTTGCGGGCCGCAGAAGCCTCCCCCACTTCGGGGCGTCGCTTCGCCATGCTATGTGAGGCTACGCGTCCTCATTTCCGCGCTTCTGAGCTTGGGTTTTTGTTCAAAATGCTGCTCTCGTTGAAGCGTTGGTTTCATTTTCGAACTACCGCTCGGTCCGAATCGTGCTCCCGCGGCAGCGCTGGCCTCATTTCCGCGCTTCCACTTGTTCCGAATCGTGCTCCCGCCGCAGCGCTGGCGTCATTATTTCCAGCGCCATGGTACGGCATGGTTTTCGGTCCTTCCAAATAGGCCCCAAAAATTGAAACATGGCCATCGAAAGCATCATCGGAAGTGATTCCACAGTCAGTGTTGATTCCCCCCCCCCAATGTGGGGCGTCGCCACGCTATGCTGTGTCATGCCACGCGTTAATCTTCAGCACCATGCTGTGCCATGTAATTCTACGCCTTGCTACGACAGCCGATTGTGCGAATAGGGAGGAAAACTGCACTATGGTAAGGGATGGGAGGGAGGGATAGGACGTCAGGTATGACACGAGCGCCCCTAGCTTGCCCCCCACCCCTCCCCCCCTCTTGCCCCCCCCCTCCCCCTCTCCTCCCTCTCCCCCCCCCCCCCGCGCATTCGTCGTTCGTCTGTTGTCCGTCGCTCTCGTGGTGTCGCGGCGAGGCGTCTGTCAGATCGCTGCCGCTGGGCCTCTCTTCCGCTGGTGATGCAAGCGAGGGAGGAGGAGGCTCCCACGTGTGCGCAGGCTCCCTCGTCTGCATGCTCGTGGCAGTGGTGCTGAGCATCAAGTGCAACGGGCGACCGCCCCGGCTAAGCCCCCCCCCCCCCCTTGCGCGCACCTCGCTCCTGATCCTCCTCACGTCCTCCGTGCCTGTCCTCCTCTTCCTCATCCTCCTCCTCCTCCTCTCGTCCTCCTCCTGCTCCTGTTCTTGCTCTTCTTCGCGTCTTCCTCCTGCACCTCCTCCTCCTCCTCCTCCTTCTACTCTACTCCTACTCCCTCTCCTCCTCCTCCGCCTCATCAGCATCATCCATTTTTTTTTTTCAAAATCATTCATCCCCGTCGCAACACTCGACGTGTCCGTAAACGGGGCTGGGCGTTTCGCTTGAGATGTTTCGCCAATTATGACCCTGAAGTTGGAAAGTTACAACATCTTGAAGGATGGAGCCCATGCCGTTCGCAAAATGCAACTGTCGCTTTAGCGCGGCAGTTTGCGACAGTTTCACAGATGGAGGCTGGGTCATTTTCATAAGGTAGATCTCGCCTAAACGTCGCGCGCATTCGTTTGAAACATTTACATTCGTGTCAACGGTGGATGTCGGCTCCATTTCAAAATGTTGCTCTCGCCCTAACGCCGCGCGCACGCGATTGAAACAAATGCGACAGCTTCATGGGTGGTAACCGGTTCCTTTTAAAACGTGGCATTCGCCCCAGCGCCGCGCACATCCATGCGACCCAACTCTCGCCATCCTACGCAACAGATTCAGTTCCGCTCATACCCATACGGCCCACCCCCCACCATCCTATCTAAAACATGGCTGCAGGCGCAAATCTATACGACCCAACCCTCACCATATACGGTGCACATCCATCCGGCGCAACAAGCACCATCCAGCATGAAACATTGCATTCGGTGTACATCCATACGACCCAACCGCCATACTCCGATGTACAACATTAGTATCATAACTACCGGTGTGATCTCGCACTGCATTATTTGGACCGGCCGACCGATCGTGCCTGGGATGTGCGCTGGACTGGGATTTTTGCTGGGACGTGTGCAGCCTTCGTGTGCCCGGATGTGTGTAGGGCTGTGTGCTGCCTCCGTGTGTTAGGATGTGCGCTGGCTTCGTGTGCTGGGATACGTGCTAGGGTGTGGCCTGGGTGCGTGCCGCCCCCGTGTGCTCTGCCTACCCCCCCGCACCCCCCGTGGACCCCGTCTGCTTATTCCGGCCGACCGACCGACCGACCGTGCCCCCCGCTCCTCCGCCCCGTGGCCCCCGTTGGCTTACTCCGACTGACCGACCGACCGTGCCCCCCCCTCCTCCGCTCCGTGGCCCCTGTCTGCTATTATTCCGACCGACCGGCCGTCCCCCCCCCCTTGCCCGACCGTGCCCTTCCGCCTCCGCCCCGTGGGCCCCGTCTGCGTATAGCGGCCAACCGACCGACCGTGCCCCTTCCCCTCCGCTCTGTGGCCCCCGTCTGCTTATCCCGACCGACCGACCGACCGTGCACCCCCCCCTTCCGGCCCGTGGCCCCCGTCTGTTTATTCCGACCGACCGACCGTCGGTGTACCCTCAGGAGCGAAAAAAGGACGTACATGTACATGAATCCGCGCTGGTTTCGAGAGTACGCATTGCGCGAATGGTCGTATAACGCGGCCGGTCTCGCGGATCGAGGGGCCGCGTTCATGTACATAGCTGGGCGCGTACGTCCTTTATGGGCTCCCTATACCCCCTGCCCGACCGTGCCCTCTCGTCCCTTTGCTCCAACCCGCGCCCGTCCACCCCGTGGCCCCCGTCTGCTTTTATTCCGACCGACCGGCCGACCGTGCCCCCCCCGTTCCGTGGTCCTCGTCTGCTCATTCCGACCGACCGATCGGATTTGCCCCCCCCCCCCCCCCGCCCCCCCCCCCACCACCACCACCACCACCACCACCCTCCGCCCCGTGGCCACCGTCTTGTTATTCCGACAGACCGACCGACCGTGCCCCCCACCCCCCTGCCCGACCGTGCCTCCCGTCTCGTTGCTCCCCCCCGCGCCCATCCGCCCCGTGGCCCCCGTTTGCTTCTTCCGACCAACCGACCGACCGTGCTCCTTCCGCTCCGTGGCCCACGTCTGCTCATTCCGACCGTCCGACCGACCGACCATGCCCTTCCCCTCCGCCCCGCGGCCCCCGTCCGCTTATTCGGACTGACCGCCCGTTTGTGCCCACCCCTTCTCCGCTCCGTGGCCCCCGTCTGTTCATTCAAACCGACCGACCGTGCCCCCCCCTTGCCCGACCGTGCCCTCCCGCCGCCATGCTCCCCCCCGCACCCCTCCGCCCCTTGGCCTCCGTCTGCTTATTCCGACCGACCAGCCGACCGTGCCCCTTCCCCTCCGCTCTGTGGCCCCCGTCTGCTTATTCCGACCGGCCGACCGACCGTGCCCCCCCCCCTCCGCCCCGTGGCCCCCGCCGACCGACCGTGCCCCCCCCTCCTTCTCCCCGGCCACCCCCCTGTCCCGCCCTTTTCGCCCCGTTGCCCCCCCGCCTGCTTATTCCGAATTCCGACCGACCGACCGTGCCCCCCCCCCGCTCCGGTCGTGTCCCTGGCCCCTCCCCGAGTCCCGACGATGGGCCAAAGAGCCATGACAGCTCAAGATTGCCCCGAGGCAGCCCAAATAAGACCCCCAATAATCCCCAGAAGCGCCCAATAGCACCATGGCCCGGAAAACTCATAGAGACGCTCACAGTGACACAACAAGTTATCCACGCCATGGGTCAGCGTGTCGCAGCACTCGCGCGCTTCCCCCTACCACAGGTTGGCGCCTCCTCCATCTCCCAATGTCCCACATCCGTGATTGTATGATCCTTGGCACGCGTGCTTCTTGTTCGTTTCACATCCACCCGACCCAGCCGCCACCATCCTACACAGATAATGCAATTTGGTGCACACCCGTCCGACCCAACCCTCACCATCATATGTAAAACCAATCTTTCGGTGCGCGCGTGCGGATCTTCAACATCTGCCCACCCCTGGCCCCGAACAGCCCTTCCCCGGGCACAAGAGGTAGAAACACAACATTAACCCGGAGAGGCAATTAAGAAAGCCCCCCCCCTTTCCGGCAAAAGCATACCGCTCCAGCACCCTTACCCTGGCACCTCGCAACGTGTTTTGGACGCAGACGAGTCTGCCCGCCGAAACAAGGGAACCGCCTGAAACATTCTCGCAATCTGGCCTCCGTGTGGTTCTGAAACAAGCTCCTCGCCTGAGACATCCTCAGAAACTGCTCTGAACGTAGACGAGTCTGCTGTGGGGGAGTCCTATGGGGGAGTCTTGTTGGGGGACTCCCATGGGGGAGAGCCATGAGGGATTCCTATGGGGGAGTCCTGGGGGAGACCTATGGGGAATAGGAATTTCTAGGGATCCTACAGATTCCCATTGGGATACCGCCCGAGCCAAGGCACGGGAATTATTCAGTTTCCTTTCTTTTGCGCGGTGCTGAAGATATTCTTCCGCGAAAACAGCCCCCAATAATTGTTGTGAAGGCCTTACGGCCGGTGCCGCCGACCCTGAAGGTTTTGGCCGTCGATTGCGACGGGATGTGTGACCACAGGAAGGAGCTAAAGGACAACGTGACAGGGTAGGCGGAGGAAGTGTGTGAGGAGGAGGAGGAGGAGGAGGAGGAGGAGGAGGAGGAGGAGGAGGAGGAGGAGGGAGGAGGAGGAGAGGAGCGGGAGACAAACGAAAAGGAAATGGAGAAGGTGGCAAAAGACGCTCAGGAGGAGGAGGAGGTGGTATTCTGACCCGGACCCCCCCCAGGACCCCCCCCCCGGGACCCCCCCCAGGACCCCCCCCCGGTTTCCCCAGGGACCCCCCCCCCCGACCGGGGAAGGAACAAAGTGAAGGGGAAATTTTTCGAGTCAATTTACTTTACGCAGGAGGAAGAGATGAAGGAGGAGGAGGAGGAGGAGGAAGAGGAGGAGGAGGAGGAGAGGGAGGAGGAGGGGGAGACGAACGAGAAGGAGACGGAGAAGGTGGGAAAGGGAAGGAGGCACGGACGGGAAGAACAACCCATTCCACACGCCGACAGGGTCGGCGGATTTAGTTCCGCGACAACCGCGCCCAATAATTATTCAGTGACGGGGTGGTGCTAATGATAACCCCGGGGTGTTCTTAATTGCTTATTGCGGTTACATCGATAGCGAATGCATGAAATTCCGATACGTATCGGGCACTTTTCGCCGTTTCCGATTTGGGACCCAATCGCTCCCCTGTGCTGCTCCAGGCGCTCCTAGACACCCCAAGACGCTCCCAGGCCCGTCGTCGCCAGCAGCAGCAACAGCATCCACATCTTCATCTTCATCGTCCTCGTCGCCGCAGGATGCTCAAAGAGAGAGAATTCAGATCGCGTTGGCGCGTAGAGGATGACGGCATTGGACAAGGAACTTTCAGAGAAGGAACCCAGGGTTTGGAAGCCGGTGACACTCCGACCGTGGATCGGCCATGGGTATCACCGTCGCCCTAATCAGATCAGGGGTTCTCCACGGTCTTGCAGCCTCCTGGGCACGTCCTTTAACGAACGCCCTCGCCGCAGTGAGGTCTCCCCTCGGCTTCGCGCGCATTCGAAGACGCACCCCCCCAATTTACACTCGCTTGATGGCTTCCCGCAGTATTGCGCAACAACTAACGCGGATGCAAGGCGGCAGGGGGCTCTGGCGTGAGACTTTCGTGACGCGTACGTCCACGATTTTGACATCCTACATCGTTTCAGCGGATGCAAGCATGTCCTCTTTCAAAATGACGCCACCCCTGGGCCTCCTCGCAGGGCTCTCGCGAGGGACTTCCGCGGAGCAAACGTCCACGACTTCACATCCTGCAACGCCTGAATGGATGGAGGGTATGCGCTTCCCAAAATGGGTTTAACCTGGGCGTCCTGCAAGTGGAGGGGTGATCCTGCATGACAGGCGCCCTTGTCTGACTGGTGGACCGACCAGCCGCTCGTCATTCAAGGGGGGGGCCCACAATGGAACAGATACGTTGTATGGACTTATGAGGGGGGACTTGGGACGGTAGGGTGTGTTGCAGCATCGGTTGC